GAGAGAGAGAGAGAGAGAGAGAGAGTGTGTGTGTGTGTGTGTGTATGTATGTATATCTTGTATCTTTGTTTTGAACTTTAATAGCCTACTTACGTCCCCCTGGCAACTTTTATTTGTTGTCATTTGTCTTTCTATCTTTTTTATTTTTTATTTTCCTTTCCTTCTTTTTGATATTGTTTCTTGATAAAAAATATTATATGTTTTTGCTCTTTGAATAATAATAATAATAAAAAGATATACGAAAAAGCATACACACATACCACATAGTACACAATAAAATATCAAAATTATAGTTTATGCTTTATTTGGATTTATTTTTAAGTGTGTTATTTAACATTATTGTTTATGAAATTATTTTCCGTTTTATTTACATTTATTTTTATTATTATTTTGACTTCAGTAATTTTTTTTCTCCCATATTATCTGTTTATATATATCTGTCTGCTGATACATGGTAAGAATCATGGCAATAATTGCACCTGGCCAATTAGAGACAGAGTCTGGGCCATTAACCCCTCCCCTTTTAAACACGGTTTCATACCAACATCCACTCCATCATCTTTTTCTATTTCTATGGATAACAGTCTCAGCGGGCGAGTAATGATGACGTGTCCAAAATCAACTCTAAACACACGGTGGCATTTAAATTAAACGAAAGTAGGAAAAATATTATGCTTTTCAGAAATTGCATACTAAATCTATATAACATATATACTTTCCTCTTCTGATTATATAGAATTATTGGCTAGATTAATTTGATCTATATACAGGAAGTAAGAATCAATATGCATTGGACAAACTAAAAATAGTAATAATGTGTCATCACGCATGATGCTGTAATCATATGTTTGATAGCACATATAAAAGCATGTAAAATCCAGTCCTAAAATGACTCGTATCAGGCTATTGATTATCTTTGTATTTCTTGAAACGCACAGTAGATGGCGCTATAGTTAAACTATTGCGATTGCCATAGAGAGGACGCAAAGATGCTTCTAAAAAACACACACACCAACCTGTTGCATTTAAATGCTGGTGAATTTGCGAGTGTGGATGAACAGACTGTGTGTAGCTAGTAACTCTATTAACGCCACAGGCCTGTGATAATGACACATCCCTCCCGGATACACTCAACCACTTTTATTCACGGTTTGAAATGCAGAATGACACACCTGCACAAAAACTGCCCATACCTCCCAACGACCAGGCGCTCTGTCTGTCCCCAGCTGACGTTAGGAAGACCCTATCTAGGATTAACCCACAAGGCTGCGGGTCCTGACGACATACCTGGCCGTGTATTGAGAGACTGTGCTGCACAGCTGACAGATGTGACTTACGATGTTTCTCTTTGCACATGTACAGTATTATGTGAAGCATCCGTATAGTCTGTATTTTATTTTATTTTGTATTTTTTAATTTTTTTAATTAATTTATTTATTTGTTATTTATGCATAGGTAAACATTTATATATAGTATATTCATAGTCAAAATCTGTCAGTAGGTTAGCTGTGTATAGGTACAGTGATTATGTGAAGCATCCA